CTTTCTCCCAATTATCTCCTTTGGAGGCTAACCGTTCCTTCAACTTCCGTTTTTTCTTTCTGTATGCCCGTTCGTCTGAGGGTGATACTGTGTATTTCGTATCCTCTTGATGCCAAACTGCTTTAGACGGGCTGTAAACTCGTCACTTTCAAAACAGAGACCCTGGCGGGTTAATATCAAATTCGGTATTCTGTGACATGCTACAATATGCCGGATTACTGCTTCGGTCACTGTTTTTGCCCGCTGGTCTGCAATGGGTACGGCATCTACCAAACATGTAGCATGTCCAGTCATCACTAGAAGGTACTGGTTACCGCTCGCCATCTGTGGAAACGCTCCCATCACATACACCGATCATAGATCGCTGACTGGGGTTACTGAGACTGAATGCAATGACGGTTGTGTGTATCGATCGATTTTCATTAGTTGGCACTGCTGGCAAGTTGATACGTACTGGGCCACATCGTCTCTCATGTCTGGCCAGTATGCACTTTGTCGTAGTAAATCCGTTCTTCTTGCGATACCTGGTGACACTCATGTGTCAACTTACGCCGCCAGTCCTTCGGAATCACAGCCACCCAATTTACGTCATCGTCCTGCCAGATCAGGGTTCCATATACGTTCACTTTTTTTTCTTTTTGCCGAAGCAACATTATTACCTCATTGTCCATTGCTCGTTTTTCGACGTCTGCTCCCTCTTTTATCACTCTGATCACCTCTCGAAGTTCAGGATCAGATTTCTGCTGTCAGACAAGTTCTAGTTGGTCTCCCTCTACACTATTCACTGCGTATGCTGTCAATTGAAGCTCAGTTTCCATTTCTGGTCTTAACAAATATTTCGCCATTACGTTTTCCTTCCCTGAAACACGGCCGATACTGAAGTCGCACACATGCAGACGTAACATTCATCGCACCAACTTCCGACAGAGGTCTCTTGCTATTTTCAGTCACTGCAGGGGTTTATGGTCAGTCTCGATGCGCAATCGTCTACCTAAAAGGTGCGGTCTCCACTTGTTTACTGCCCACACGATTGCTAAGCACTTCTCTTGTACCGTTGAATACTTCTGTTCAGTGGGTGTGAGAACGCGACTCGCGTATTCCACCACTCTATCAGACTGACTCAGGACGGCACGTATACCATGGTCACTTGCGTCTGCGGCCATTGTAAACGGTTTCTCGGGTTCAGGCAGTCTAAGCATCATCCGGAGGTCGTCTGACATGTTTTGATTCGGTTGAACGTTTTTTGAGAGGTCGCAGTCCACGTAAACTTAGTTTTGCTCAACAACTTATATAAGGGTGTTGCTATTTCGTTGAAGTTCCTGACAAACTGACTGTAGAACGCCGCCCTTCCCAGGAACTGTCTCAATTTCCTTTCCGAATTCGGTACTGCAATGTTCTTTATGATAAGATTTTTCTCCAGAAGTGGTTTCATTTCTCCATTTCCCACTTCATGCCCCAACAAAGTGATGCTATTTTTCGCCATCTGCAACTTTTCCTTATTAATTCAATTTACAAATTCTTCCATTCCCATTAATATCGCCTCCACATGCCTGACGTTTCTGTATCGCTGTACACAACTACACCGTCGCCATACACCTCGACGTTATCTTGACCCCTGAGTAGCAGAATCATTACTATTCTGACCGTAAACGGTGCGCCCACCGAACCAAACGACATTCGCCTAAATTGATACTGTTTATCACTTACAGTAAACACTGTCTTTTTTCGATCGCTCTCTTTTATGGGCAGTTGCCAATAACCTGACCGCAAATCCAGTACTGTAAACACCGTAGCGTTGTCCAGCCGATCTAATGATACCACCACTGTTGTCGTTGAAAAAGGTTTCAGTCTTGTTATGTTATTCAGTTCTCTAAAATCGACACAAAATCTATACTTTCCATTCGCTTTTTACCAAGAGTGCCGGCGAGCTATACAGGCTGTCCGTTTCCTCAATTATACCTTCTTTCAACATCAGCTGAACCTGTCGGTTTACTCAGCCTTTAAATGCACAGGGACACGACGCATTGCAAATATACTTCCTCCATCGTTCTTTGTCGAGATTTCGCGCATCACTTTGTCACAAAATCCGTAAGGCTCTCCGTTTCCAGCGAACAGCTTCGTATACTTCGTGCGCAACTCGTTAATGTTGGTTTCTTCGTCGAAACATCTGTTGCCACTCTTATATCAGCCGCTTATTTACTTTCATGTTTTGGGAATAAACTGTACTTTGTGAACGCGCTTCTTAAGTCAACTACTGCTTTTAATTCTCTTAGGAAATCTGCTCCTAATGTTGGTCTCGATAGGTTTGTGGTTACCACGATAATGTTAGTTACACCCAACACCTCTAACGTGTGTCCTGATATGGTGTGAACCACTATTATACATGGTTTGAGACTCTTGCATTGCTCTTTGCCTATTAACGATACTGCTGCCCCTGTATCCATCAGACACACTAAATCTCACTCAATTATGTTCACTATTGTGTAGATTCCCCTTATATCTACCAATCAAACAACCCTCAGATTCCTAGGGTGGGGAACACACGTTATAACGTCCAAAATATCTGCGTCTTCGTCTTGTTGGATAGTTCATCTTCCAATGTCCTGTCCCTGCACATGCGTAACACTTATTCCTTCTGTGATTTACTCGCATTGCAGCAATCTCATGCTGCAGCTCCTCAATGTTCTTCTCGACACTGTATATCTCCTGATTTCCGCACCCAACCTGAGCTACTGTTCGGGTCACCTTCTCCAGTTTACTGATATCCATAGGTTGTGCGGCGTTCACTAGTTTCAGCTGCTGAGAAGCACGCTCTCGATAGAATGCGACGCCAACAACTATGCCTGACACTCTTCATCCAGATTGGGCATCGCACAGCGCAACAATCTTTTGAGCTCTAGAGACAGCACAAGTGTGTCAATATCGATCGACAACTTCGCCAGCATACCACCATACCTCTAACAACACTCAAGATCACTGTATTTATAATCAATTTCCTTATTTAATTCCTATTATTCCTCCTACATCGACTTTCAACAATGAACTTCCTTCTCAAGTGTCACCATAGCTAACGATTCTAGTAAGCAAAATACTGTCCAAGGTCTACCGAAACCTTGCTCCAAACTACACATTGAAGTCTTCAACGTACGTACCCTATGTCAAATTGGCCAGCAGGTCTCCTTGGTTAAGACCCTAGAATCTCGCACCATTGATGTATGTTGTATCTCCGTAACACACATACAGGATCCTAGTGTGCTCATTCACTTGACCTCACTTCGCCAAAATACACCTTCCGTGTATCTAGCAACCCGATGGCTAGTTCTCGTGGACTTGCAGGTGTAGGCATAGCACTAAGTACGACGACAGAACAAGCAATATAAGAGTGGACAGACAGTCGTTCATTTTTAGCAAACACTAATTTTAAGCATAAGTAAAGACATCATCTAACATGACGAACCCCTGCACTAAATCAACGATGAACTTAGATAAACCATATTGCCAACAGTCATCTTTGGAGAAGCTCGATAGAAGACTTCCACTCGTTCGGGGATGCATGTTCAGACTCTGATCATGAATTTGCTCGCACCCCACTTGACACAAAAAAACCACATTAAGAAGAACCATTAGAGTTGGACTGAGTGACGAGAAAGCCAAAAGTAGATTCCAGAAACAACTGAAGTAACACTTGAGCAATTTCGAAAACAAGAATGACCAAGATATTTCTTAGAAAAATATATGAACAGCTGTGTAAACAGCAGTGACATCCATCAGTGATATAGCAGCTCACGTACAACTGAGTTTTTTCATATTTAGTTTGTTGAAAGCGTGAGTCAATTGAATCTAGACCACCATGGAAAACCTGGACGGCCGTTTTGCCCTATCATGGGACTCCTCAGCAGTGCGCATCCACGATCCCGCACTCGCAAGATTCGAACCCAGAACTTACCAGTCTCGAGCCAGAGCCCTTAACCGATAGACCACTGAGCTGAGGAGTCCCATAATAGGACGAAACGGCCGTCCAGTGTTTCCAGGTTTTCCATGGTGGTCTAGCTTCAATTGACTCACGCTCTCAACTATGAAAATAATAAATCTCCACAAAACCCCTTCTGATATTTAATTTGGTTAACCTCTTTTGTTAACTTATTTAACGGACAGAGTCATTCGTACAATAACAACTATTTTAAATTTATCATTGTTTCACTTGTATGCTTGAACATTTCTTACTGTCTACGCATATATTCATTCCGCTAACCGCTTAATTGATCCGATGATTCATTCGTTTGCATACGTATATATATGTACACTTTAATCCTGTTCGCTGACTCGCACATTCGTTCATTGACTCGACTATTCGCTCGCTCACTCGCTTGCTTTTGGGCACTACTCTTTTATGCTTGCTTAACGTGCCTGTAATCTTAGATATCTGTGCGTTGTTCATTAATAAACGCAATCAACACTTCGTATTCGCCTTCTGATTTATACACCGTAGGGGCGTTATCAAGTAACGTTTATCAGGACGAACAATATACGAAGTTTAAGGGTAATATCGAATACCGACTACCACAGTGATTTGAACTAAAAACTTACAAAAAAACTAGTGGATTTCTGCCACATCTAGTGCACTGATAAATTTTCGTGAACTTATCTCATCTGGCTCCAAACACGATAACGAGCGAAAACAAATCAGATCTAGGTTAACCAAAAGTCTACGGAAAGATCATGAGCAGTGGTGGGCAACGAAAACAAAAGAGATGGAAAAGGTAGAGGCTTTGGGGAACACAGGACAGCTTTTCAAACTAATAAAAAAACTGGAATTAAGAAGTCAAGTGTGAGACAATCTCGGAAGAAAAACGGCACAACTATTTGCTCTCAGTCCACGAGTTTGGAACGTTTAGCGGAACACTTTAAGGAGCAGTTCAGCTGAACTTTAGCTACTCTACAACTACTCATAATCTCTAAACAGGCTGAACAGAATACTGAATTAGGTTTCACGACTCCAATTGAAGTTTAAAAAGCTATGGCTGATCTGAAATGATGAATAGCAGCTGGTTCACATGGATTAACTCCATAGGTTTTTAAGGATGGTGGTCCAGTTTTAGTTAAAATCTGGAAACTGGATGTAATCCCATGTGACTGGTCACAATCACTTATTGTCCCAATATATAAGAAGGGGTCAAAATCATCCTGTGATGACCATAGACGGTTTGGTTTGACTAATATAGTGTCTCCCTTACTCATAGCCACCTTCTGGCCTGATCATGTATAGCTTTTATTTTTCACTTTATGATGTGTTGTGGTCGGGTACGTATCTGTATATAAATTACGTATGCATGAAATATAATATTCGTATGATGGAGCCTGATTATTCTGTTCTGGACTCAAAGACAGGGTAGGGAGAACTACCAGATCGAGGACCGATAAGAGCTTAGGGTTTACTCAAGGTTATTAGTGCCATAGAGGATTTCAATAGACGTCTTTGTCACGTGATATTAGTGAGCGGTTACAAGTCATAGCAAAACCGACATTAATTAGTAGCCTGTGCTTTTATATGAAATACTGGATCCAAAACGACAATTCAAAAGACTGTACAAAATGTCTCAGTTTTTCTCTCTAAAACCAAGCCCCCGTGTTGATGAGCAGAACACATCGAGTAAAATTATGATGGATTATCAGTTAATTTTATTCTTTCGAGTCGGAATGTGATGAAATTAGATGACCGAACATTAAAATGGTTGAGAAAGCTGAAAGTAGCTACGAAAATGAAAACACAATAAAAATTAAGAGACTAACTTGAGAGATCTTTGAAAAAGTGTTGATGCGAAATCATTAGACAAAATGATTGTAATATTAGTTGAATTTAAACAATACATCACAGTTTCCTCTCGAATTTAGTAACAATTTTATGTCTAGAGACTAGATATTAAAACGTCAATGAAATTTTTTTGCAATATCAGTAAAGAATGCTCCCATACTTCAAAATAACAAGGTCCTAAATTTTGATAAGCATTTTAAAAGTTCCTTAAGTTTTATAATTAAACTATTTACCTGAAAAGAATTAAGCTCTTTCCCATACATTTAAAGTTGTAACCGCCAAACCTGGGGAGGAAGATTTAAACAGGATTGTCAAATTTGATAGGCAATGTTACAAATTACACCCAACAATCGATCCTATTTGTACACATACACACTCTAAAGATCCACTAGTTGGGTCTCTAATCTATATGAAATAGAGCAATACTTACGAGCTACCTCATCACACGTGACTAACACCAACTCCGCACATCCATACAAATAAATTGTATAAAGTATCAAATGTATACAACAAAAGAAAAAAGGAATGCGTTATGGGAATGAAAATTATCTGTCGTAAAAGAAAGCTAACAAGGAAGTTCAATCGTATTATTGATCACAGTTGGTAAAATGACAAAAAACTGGTAATGAAGAAAAATCATATTTAAGAATTACGAAGAAGTTAAGATAAATGAAGTGACTGTAAATGTATCATATTTTCAATTACCAGTTATATGCAGTTTCAGAAGTATTAAAAAATAACAAACTGACAAAGTACATATACATAGATGTGATTACCTAGAGTCATGTGTATGTAAAGATAAAAATTCAAAAGGCAATAAAAAGCATCATATTCAACATACAAACAATTTGGACAAAAACCCAGCTAGTCAACGATATTCAATGGGGCACCGTAGTCAATATTTATTCCTAGATTGGCAAAACTCTAAAAAACATTACGATAAAAAAGAAACACAAAAATATTAGATCAACTGAATATGAAGCACCTATGTATACATCAACGATAGTACTGATGAAAATTCAGCTTTATTAGTGAGTGTATTCTCAAATTACAAATACATATCTCACTACGTTGTGAATCATATCGACAAATTTAAATTTGATAGAAAATTATTTGAAAAAAAATCCAACCCATCTGCTAGAGTGAGAGCAATATTATTAGCGAGAATAAAATACTCCGATAGTATTCGCTGACATATCCTGCATTACAATTTGGCTACAATAATACGCTCTTAATCTCTGACTAATATAAGTAAAGAGGAAGACAAACTAAACAGCATAGGTCATTAAGTTGAAAAATGATGAGACTCATTAAGCACAGATTTTTATACTTAGCTATGAGCAATACTTTACGCGTGAGAGCTAGTGGATCAGTAAATTAGTGGTTAAGGTGTACGACGTCTAATCAGTAGGTCCCATTTCCCGATACCGCTTTATTTATTTCCATTTAGAAAACTGAACAACCCGTACACAAATCTATGCTCACTAAACGAGTCACATCAGCCAACTGGTGACAAAAAAGATATGGCTCAAAATCGGTCAAAGTTATGTGGTACTTTTTTTCATTTGAAAATCACTCTATACTGGATAGAAACTTTCACTTAAGAACGTTGACAAGCCAACTCAAGATGAAAAAAGAGACACAAATAGTTGGTTTTACGCACACAATAAGAATTTATTTTGGTTGTATATGTGAGGAACATAAATCTCAGTGGTATGTGAAACCTTGAAATTACTTCTCAACAACGATTCAGAAGACATTAAGAAGAGGTGGTTTGTTTGAACTCCTCGAATATTTTTTTCACAAAGGAAGTTCATATTCAAACATTAGCTTTAGTAACTTAAAAACACTTTGCACATGCCGTTACATCAGTTACATCAACTAAGTTTCCTGTCATCAGGATAGGTCATAAAAAGCGTAGAGACTATGAATTAATGATATGGAGTCATAAAATAAGAAACAAATAGAGTCCTAATGATCGAACAACTGAAAGACTTAAAGATGTGACACATAAGAATTAGAAACACAGCAGTTGGTAGTTAAAATTAAGTCCAAAAAACGACAATTGAAGTTTCCTAATAATAAATTTACGCTTTCTAATTATCTTCTTCTTTTAACCAGGGTCTCCCTCCCTATTGAAATGTTGCTATACTGATTTGTTTGGCCTAACATTTGAATGCTTGTGTTGCATATTAAATTTGGTTTGAATGAAAATAATAATGCATAACACAGCTATAAACTAAAATCGGCATCAAAATATTATGTAGAATATCTATCTACCATTAGAAAGAAAACCTAAATTTCGTTTTAATTTTTCCCACTAGGATTTCAAATTGATCGCCTGATTTCGGAGTTAATTAGACATAAACATATAAGTATTCATTAAGACTCATCAACAAAACATTATTATAATCTCAAGAAAATGAATTGACTAATCGATAACCGCGAGTAGGGAAGCTGTTATTATGCTTACTGAGAGCATCTGCAAGATTAATATCATTTAATTCGCGAAAATACTTAAAGCAATATTACAAGGAGCAAATAAATTTACCGCAGTAAGATAATCATTAGCTGAACAAACAGTGGTATTAGAATCAATTTTCTTCTGAATATCAGCTGCATATATATTATCAGATGGCTTTTCATCGGAGACAGCCAGTTTATTAAAATCGTTTCCAAGACTACCTCTATTTGAACGATTTTCATTTGATATTGTATAACTATTTTGATTTTGTGCTCCATTCCTATTGTAATTTATCATTTTCATCAAACGATATTCATCAGATTGCTTCTGAATTGAATGAAAGTAATCAAATAACTCATTAAAGTTGATGTACACATTAACTACATTCTCTGCCGACTGGGGACCATTTGAAATCCGACTACTTAAAAAAGAGTGGATCAATACAAAAAGTAATGGTTTTAAAACTCATACCATATAATAATAAATGTTAGTTCAACATGTAAATTTCATTCAAGATAACTAAATCACTATGCACAAATCGAATGAATAATAGTCCACTATAACAACTTTGCTCTTATTACACTAAACACTCGCGTGGACTCCATTTTATTAAAGCTTGGGATGTCAAACTACTTTCTATTAGTAAGTAGCATAAACAGTTACCCACATTTGTTATAAAAAGTCATTGGGTGTGAAGTCATGTGGTCGAAAATGCATTTAACTTATAGCGGATTCAAGTAATACATAAAAAGCTCGAAAGTTGGGAAAGAGCCATACTAAATCATACAACACACGCAAAAATCGGAACAGAATAACTACTATCAATAGAGAATTCGTTAAACTTGGCATTCAATAGAAAAGAACAAAAACAGTCAGTCATAACAGTAATCCGAAAATCCCTACCCTGTATCTCATTAAAAGACTTAACGTTTTAAAACATTATCAAGGTAATATAACTCTTGAAAGATAATCATAAGATTCCAAACACTGGAAAATAAAATGTTGATCGCTTCCAGATATACTTAAATGAGTTCTTGTTATATCATGTGGATCATTCTTAACATTTAATAACGCTCCAAGTCAATATTTAATTCTCTATGTTTCAGATCTTATGATTGCAAAGCGCATCTGTAAATAAATAGAAACTAAAGAAAATAATTATTACACTGGATTATCTGAAATGTATTCCACAGGTGGCAAGCATTGTAAGCGTCGCCAAAGTGTCTGAAAGGCGTCTGTTTGTGGAAGACACATAAGTAGACAATATAAGGTTTCGCGAAGATCAGCACTGAATCGTTTATCAAGCATATGCATCCGAAGACCTGAAAAATGAAACATTGCGTTTTAACTGTATATTGTATTTCTTTAGTGAGTAATATTTCGAAGTTTATCATACGTATGTATATGCCAAACTGCGTAGAAATAGTCAATTTTATTTACTAAAATAGTGTTCTATAATGAGATAGAAAGCAGCTAGTTAAACAAAAAACCTGGGATGTTATGTTGTCACGACTTGAAAATCAGATATTGAAAGGAAGTTATATGATAATCGGCCAGTTAAATACTGGTAAGGTGAAATAATTGTCCACTTGATAACCATTAAGAACAGAATTATAAAAAGTTATAATGATTTATACGAATATTCGTCAAGATTAGAACGAATAGCTTGACGAAAATTGAGCGCCGAGTATGATTGCTAGATAATGGTTGTGAAAACAACTGGAAAGGAGTAGAAATGATAAAGTAGATAAAAACCAATAAAAAAGATAGATTATGGAAGATAGAAAGCGAGGTTAGGGTCATGGATGAATGAGGGATTGGGCATACTATTTTTCTAGGCAAAGGTTAAGCTAAAACTGGTGGATAGCAATAGCCTGTGCTGTACGTAAATTTTTCATTTGCATTCTTATTGAGCCGACTCCTCTGACTGTATGTAAACCTATAAAGGGGGCTTCTAGTGAAGCGGAGTGGCCAGAATTGACTAGATGCTCCAAGAGTGATCTTTTAACTAACTTCTGTAACCGTTTAAAGAGCCAGGCGGTGTAATGTTCGAAGATGTATTTCGAACATCTCTCTTTGTGTGGCCAATATAACCTGCTCCACATGAGCAAATAAAGTGATAGATGCACATTGATTTCTCCCAAACTTTCAAGATCTCTGAGGAAAATGTTTGATTCGGCTGAGCTTTACATTATTTTTTCGAGTTGGCCCATGATTCAAAGTTGTGTGAAGGATAAGCTCCCGCATTGGGCGAAATCAGTGTGCATATATCACTTTATTTGCTCATGTGGAGCAGGTTATATTGGCCACATAAAGAGAGTTTTTCGAAATGCAACTTCAAATATTACATTACCTGGCTCTTTAAACGATTACAGAAGTTAGTCAAAAGCTCAATTTTGGAGCATCTAACCGATTCTAGCCACTCCGCTTCACTAGAAGCCCCCTTTATAAGTTTACATACAGTCAGAAGAGTTGGCTCAATAAGAATATATATATTGAAAATAAACTTGTCAGAGTACATTTAAAACCTTAGAATTCAAAATATTCTCTAAGCAAACATGAGAGAACCGCACAAATCATAAAAGTGATGATAACATGCTCACACATTGAACGATATTATGATTATCTCATTGCTCAAGATTACTTAATTTGTCGGAACTGAAGTCTAATACATGAAAAAATTCGCTAACACCGAATCAATTTCAGTAAAATAACCTTCGCATGTCTGTCAAAATTCACGAAAACTATTTTGATCTGATTACACCTTAATTTAGAAACAGTGTAATATGGTATTGTGTAAACAGACAAGTATGTAATGAAAAAGGGCACATAAGCAGATGAATTAATTTAAAGGATTCTCAATATTATCAACGATGTATAAACTTACTGGAGAATATTGGTGATTCTATCATTTGAATTAGCTGATCCATATCACAGAGAGTTTCAACGGTAATAACAATATCTCCGCTTAGTCAGGAACAAAATAATATCGTCAAGGAATAAAACTAACACATAGTGCAGAATGCGCTACCTTACACATAAATTCATTCCCTATTTGAACGAAGTATCGTTTAGTTGACATGTCACTGTTTATTAAATCTCCTTGTTCTTCTTTCTCGCAATATTTATCCTAATTATTAAAATGCAATTAAGCTATCACACCAGATTTTTTATACGCAACGCACAAATGAACAATCATATTTATCCGATTATCAACTCTATGAGTTTTTTTAAAATTCATAACTTTGAGACATACCGAAATGTACTAATGAGATTGTACATCTTATTATTAAAAGACGTATAAGTAACCGGGGTAGTTTTTGAATGAGGTAAAAGTGTGAACTAAATTATAGTTTACATATTGTTAGGATATGGTAACCGAAGGTATATTACTTATCAGAAAAAGATACTTGATATTATGGCACTATGATGTGACTTGTTTAGTTAAGAAGTCGTAAAAGGAAGGAGATTTTGTCAAAATCACCACGAGCATCCCTCGGTTCTTCAGTCACAGTATTTTCAACCAATAGGATAACGTTTTGGATTTTGATCTATCTACCACGATTATAATCAAAGGAGTTTACATACCTTGCATACAGTAGGTGTGACCAACAGAGTGATCTAAATATTCTTGCGGAGCTGCCAAATCCACTTCCTTTCTTAGAATTCATTGCGAAATGTGTATCTTTATTAAACTGGAGATGCAATATGTGATAAGTCATACCACTACTATCTTGAATCGATTAACACACTGTCTATTATAATTAAGATGAATAGAATACAATGATACCAGAAATAATTGCTGCACCCTCTTTGTAGTGAACACAACACATTTACAAGTGTTCCTTTAAATCTTAAACTATAGATTGGTTCTATTCAATGATAATTCATTAAAAAACTAACCATTTTATTTATTTTATATGCTGTTAAATAAACTGATTGAAAATTAAATCCACTTTGCTAAAATGCTATTTTTTCCAATCGAAAAAAGGATACAATGATTTCACTAAACGACTACAATGTTTGTAATTTTCAGTCAGCATACATAATGCTAACAGAGAAACAGGATTAAAACACCAAGCACGATAGAGTTTTTCAAACAACTGACATTGGGCCTAAAATATGTACACACGATGGAGAGAATGTAGATATTTGTTTTGTAAAATAAGAAAGGAAAATAAACAAATGTTTTGAATATAAAGATGTATTGTGGAAAAAAACAAGAATATTTGTACAACAACATGAGAATTGAAATCAGTCGTGTGGCATATTCAAAGTACTGAAAGTATCATTAGGCATAATTATTTGAATGCGCTGAAGTGATGTCAGTACACGGAGGTATTTCACAATAATATTGGTGCATTAGCATATATTTTTATGTTATATAACTACATGAAGTGGAGACTATGTTATATATAAGAGAATTTGTGATTATTTAACAAACCACTCGTCACTCAATTTTATTGTTTGACAAGGAGTTAGAATTATTCCTCAACACCAAGTATTGTTGTTGCTCAATGAAGTATAATCCTATTGAATGTTCGATAAGCATAAAAACTAGAATCAATGTTTTAATCAGGTAATCTACTCTTACAAATTAATAGTTGAGATATGAAAGTTAATTAGTGTTAGGTTTTATCACCATGAACTAATCAATATTGGAGTCAGATCGACTTTAACAAACAATTATTAACTCGATAAATTACTGAAAAAGATTGACTTATACTGGCACTAGCTCTTTCTGGATAAATAAAAAGCTTATGAAATAAACATATCATAGTAATCCTATGAGTTACATCAGATTAACTCGGACGATAAATTATGTTTATTCCTATTTACAAATGAATGAGTCTGTCTATTGTCTATCTTAATCTATGTTCTAATCGATTTTATTTTACAGAAAAACTGAGAAGTGTTTAACTCAACAATCTGGCTCAGGCCATAATCATTCGCTTGCATGGTTTTTCGCTCATATTAGAAAAACAATAGCCTCAAAACCTTTAGTATTCGACTAATGTTATCCCATAATTTAATCTAATCTAGTTTTAAAACAATATTGGTCGAAGGAAATATATGAAATCAATCCGGGGTATATATTGAGGATCAATATAACTTTTGGCAACCCAGAATAAGTGAATAATAGTAACAAAACTTCTCCTAAGCTATAAGACCGACCTTTCCCACTGAAACATATACTGTTTAAAAACGAATTTATTCTAACAGGTAAACTTTACAAGTACAGAGAAAAATTTAAAAAATAAAACCTCTAAATAATCGGCCGACGGAAAGCATCGGAATCGTACTAAGAAATGTAAATAGAATCAAATATTAACATATTTTTATGATTATTTCTTGGTGAAAATATACCAATATTTATAAACGAAAACTACCTATTGTCCCTTACCTTCGTATTAATACAACGTAATTGTTTACGGAAATTATGTAACACTGGTTGAGTTAAAAGAATTCGATTCAACGCTTGTACCAGTACAAATGCAGATTCCAATGGTTTAATATAAGAAATAATTGTTGAAACGGTGCAGTAAACCGTATCAGCACCAAGAACTTGACAGAGATCGCTAACGAAATAGTAAAAACAAAAATAAATAATTTGATGAACTTACTGATTATGAACAACTTACGTGAGAAGTCTGATAGGACCAAGTGAAAATATTGAGGGTGTATATTCAGTCGCACTCTAATGTCATAAAAGACGACGATTAATACCTATGACCGGTTAGGAAAATGACATCTCTGAGAGGCGAAACACAAATTCAACAGTCGACAACTTTAGATAATTCAGTGAATATAACAGAACGTATTACAAAAAACACACCTCAGACCAAAAGTAACAAAGCATGCATGATCCGTCTACTTACGTAAACAAGACATTCCATAATATCAGTCACAACGAAATTGGCCAACTAATAATATGAAATAGGTACCGAAACATAAAAATTAGTATTTTCAACAAGTTACCGCAAAACATAAGTTGGATCAGCTGCATTTAAGATTACGGAAACCATATATTGTTAATCCGAAATTCAGGAAAATGTCCCATTGTTATATTAGTCTACTTACACCATTCAGTCAGTCACAAAGTAGTTTCCCTAGCTTTCATTTCTAGTATTTAATAAAAAGAAATATTACTTGTACTTTGATATCTAACCTTTAATCAACAACATGATAACTAAACACTTACAAATGCAGTCTTGATATGTTAGTTACTCAAAGACAACTAACAAACTACAGCTCAGTTATTAACCAACGGAAATCGAATTCGCCCCACTGAATAGGCTTTTCATAGAAATCACAATTGAAATATCTGGTTTAGTATTTCATAAACGACTATCGGTTTAAATTAAAATTAAGGTAGTGAGAAATGATAACGATAATATTAAGATGATATTAAGCTACGTCAGTCAGTCAGTCAGTCACAATGTAGAACTTCGAACGTAGGTACATCTGTTTGAGTTGCCGTACCAAATTAGCACAGAGATGCAGTCGTCGATTCAAATCCCATAGTGGTAGAGGTAGTAAGAGTATAGGCAGTAATCCGAAAGATTAGGGTTTGAAGATGTTATTCAAGGAGTATATTCCATTGCAAAAGATTTTGAGCCATTTCATTTAAGGTCTCTAACCGTCGGTTGCTATCATCTCGCGGACCCCAACCAAGTAGTCTACACCTACCAACATGGCTCATCCCACTTGTCACTGACTTCATGGATTTGTGCCACGTTTTGGTCTGGCCGCCCCTAGCTTTCTTCCATCCTACTCCTACGCTGTCTTTACCATCTCTCTTGCTTTCGCTACACACCACTGTTCACGGCCATTGCGTAGGTGTCTTGTTAGACTGCGCTTAAGCTGACTCCGCTCTTCGTTATGTTCAGAGCCAGATGAGATGAGTTTTCGAGCATCTATCAGTGCGGTAGATGCTGCTGAGATTCAGTGTTTCTCCCTAACCTTATGGTTTACCGTACTAGTAGATATCACTGCTATTTCCACAGCTTTCCGGATGTCATTCCAAGCGGCCTCCGGGTGGACACAACTTACATGGCTGCATAACTGTTTTTCTAGATGTTCCTGAGATATATTCTTAGCTAGCCTATCATTAACCATCGATGGCCATCATCTCGCGGAACCCAACCAAGTAGTCTACACCTACCAACATGGCTCATCCCACATGTCATCGACTTCATGGATTTGTGCCATATTTTGGCCTGCGCGCCCCTAGCTTTCTTCCAACCTACTCCTACACCATAAGACGTTGCACATCGGGGCAGTCGGTGGTTGGGCATACGTAACACGTATCCCAGACATCTCAACTGATGAAGTTTCACTACTTCATCAATCGATTTGCCATCCTTACCTACTACCCGTTTCCTAACAACTACATTATTTACGCGGTGGTCCCAGGATATATGAGCAATGCTTCGAAGACACCTATGATAGAATACTAGTAGCCTACAAACATCCTCTACTATTACCGACCATTTTTCACTGCCATAAAGTAGGATGGGATATCTCGTCTACACCATAAATGACGCAAGTTGGTAAAAGCTAGTCGAGCCTTCTGTATCCGTGCTGAAATTTCGTCACACACCAGACCACAAGAACTGATGAGATTCCCAAGATAAATGAAGGGGTCAACACCTTCAACTACTTCACTACCTATCATTAGTTCAGGTGTCGATGCAACCCAATCCTGAAGTAACATTTTGAACTTCGAGGGGGAGAATCACATCCCGAACATGCCTGCATAGTTGCTTATAGTGGTCAGAAGACTGCATTTTGTCAGCGTCTTCACCAAATAGAACTATATCATCGGCGTATTTTAAGTCAACAAGTGAGTCTCTCGGTAAAAGTTCAACTCCTAGAGATTGAGATGATGAAAGTGTTATCTCTAAAAGCATGTCAACGACAAAGTTAAACAAGAATGAAGAGAGTGGGCAACCCTGACGAACACCACATGAGGTGATCAATTCTGATGACAGTTCGCCATAGGCTCTAACTCGACCAGTTGTGTTTGAGTAGAGAGCCTTTATAAGATTAATGTACTTCTTCGGTACTCCTTTCGGCAACAAACACTGCCATGGAACCTCACGATCAACGGAGTCGAATGCCGCCTTAAGGTCGAAAAATACTACGATAGTGGGACGTCTAGATGTGTGTCTATGTTTTAGGACCTGACGTAGAGTGAATATCTGGTCTATACAACCACATCCAGGTCGAAAACCGGCCTGGTTTTCTCGATTGTTTCAGCCAGTATAGCTCAATTGGTTCATCACGATAGGCAAGCCCGATCACCACGTCAAGGTAGCAGCAACGGTCGGGATTCCATAACATTGAAGTCTTGGAAAATACGTCAACAAATAATACACTCCATTAGTTCAAAAAAGTCAGTACTAAGCATTTGGCGTCAATCCTGCTGAAAAATAGAAACGGAAAGTGATCATTATTTCTTAGTTAAAATCAAATTCGTTGGTTGTACTGACATGAGATCATGAAGTAGGACCAACCATCCAGGGAATACATACACAGATCCAATGAATTTAAAACAAGCAGTCCATACTTCTATCACAGAAACTACGTTTATTCATTTTGATAACTGGATATATCTTAGAAAACATTTCATGGGACTGACACTGAAAGGAAAAATTATTAAACAGATTATTCTTATTTGGTTGATAAAGTATTTTCGTTACTATCGAAAGTATCGACATTTGCGAAGCCTTCAAGCAAGCGTACGTTGTCTGGTAAGAACGAGTTCCTAATGAGGATTGCCACTGAAGAAAAGATCCTGTTTACAAATACTTTTCCGATAACGTTAAGTTATAGAAGCCAATATTGGTTGTGAAAAATTGATAAAATCTTCATGAGACAATAACTTGTTTCGTCTTGAGATATAAAAAGATAAAAGCAACCCATAAAGCTAATTACGTAATAATCATATCTCCACGTCTCCGTAATAATTCTGAATCTTTGTTAAACAATTCGACCAAGTCCAAAAGAAATCGTAAACAAAATGTATTCGGAACAGAAGATGATGACGGTAATGATTCTTCAGATGAAATCTCAACTGAATAATCAGAAATCTGACTATTATTTTGTCCATTCACAACAGCCGGATCATGAAGCAACTTAACCAGTTCTTGAGGTAAAATAACAGATTCTTTGTTGTGACAATTATTACCAACAGCAGTAGTATGGTGACTGAGTTTTCCAATCAATGAAATAGTAGAATGCACCATCTATAAAGATTAATATAAAAAATTCATGCATGAAATAAAGACAAAACTGTTGATATCATTCCTAGACAAAATCTCACTGATTCCCAATGTATAACTTACTTCATCAGCAGGATCAGAAACTAGTTTGAGCATTTCCGGTAAAAGACGATCAACATGAGAAAAAACATCAGCTGAACAAACTTCTGCAAGTACAGTAATCCAGCGTAGTGCTGCCAAGCGAGTAAATAAACTTGAATTATTAAGAAGTTGAAAAGTAGCTTCTAAGATTGCATCTGTGCACAAGATTCGTGAACTGTTTTGTTCACCAGATAGTGAATCAGTTGTAATGTTAAGAGATGAGTCCGCGAAGTGTTTAGTTGAATTTTCAGCCTGTGAACTATAAAAAAATTTAGGCAAAATATGTTGATGATGTTTTCAAGGCTCTTTGGTTCCACAAGAAGATTCATACAAACACCTTGTATTGCTGTTACTTTTAAGAACAAACAAAATTATTCCAGAAACCCGTTACACAGAAGCATCAAGAAACGGATCCATCTCTGCTTACCATGCTTGTGAATTAAGGTATATCGAGGCAATAGGCACAGTATGCACATATGCCAATTAGAGACTGACCAGTTGCAGTCCTAAACACATCGATGGGAAGATCCAAACAAACAATACTAAGTGAATTCAAACTTATTAGCATGTGTTATGAATTTATCTTAACACAAACATACAAAACATTAAAACTTACAACTTGATTGAAGATTCACTTTGGTTTCCTGAATTCAGTGAGACTCTGCGCGAATCCATTGCATTGTGAGCTTTCGATTCGCATGAATCCGAATTATTCATAGTACATGAATTGAATAATCTAACAGCCTTCAAAAGTGTTTCGTTTATGCACACAGCTGTCTCGAGAGCAACTGTCGTATGAATAATAATTAGAATAATTAAAACAAGAAAGATAAAATTCAGCTTATCCAGTGTATATATATATTTTTTTAATGACTAGATACACACCAAGCTTTTTATACACAACGACCACAGAACGAAAATCATATCATCTGCAAGATATATTTATGATTTACTTTACTACAATCGAGAGCAGCTTCGGTCAGATTAGGATAATAACTGAAAACTTCTAAAACACATACAGTTTAGGAATGATGAGATAGACAGAAAAATCAGTAGAATCACGCGGTTAAATACCTATGATGAGTGGTTTGGAAGAATTGTTTTGATGCTCGATAGTAATGGGAAAATGAAGTCATTTGAAACGACAGCAAATATACCCGTATTCTACTGTTCACTATGGAAGTAAGTTTGTTTATTTGTTTGACCTTATAAGAGCCCAACTAACACCTAGTTATGCTACAAACAAAAAGTAACTGATTCATAAATACAAAGCTTACATAACTGACTTATTGCCGTTTCGGAAAGAAAGACTGAGTGTATTTCTTCAATTAAAATAAAATTCAGTGTATATCTCACTGCTTTATGGACTATGGGGTAAGCAAAACTCGAAGGAATAAGTTTTCAGAAAATCTAGAATAGAACCACAGCCCATCTAAACAGACATATATAGTACTCAAAATAAAAATCGATGATTTGAAGGATAAAGCCAGTTGATGACATTCAAGAAAATCAAAAATGCTAAATTGTGACGTATAAAGCCAGTTACTAGACATGATTAACTGGTCATATTGTGGTGTGAGTTACTTATATCCACATAAGTAGTATATGATGATGGTCAGGCATGGAATGTATTTTGGTAGAAGATCGATAAGTAAAGAACAGGAACGAAGCGCAATCGGTATGAAAATGCATAAACAATGAAATTAGAGAAGATGGACTGATATTTACGGAAAGAACGGTCAAGATTGGGTCAATTAATTGTTATTTTGCAAATTAACTGTTTACCGTATGGTTTTCAGATTTTAGTGAGACAGTCTGGAATTTGTGCCTAAATACATTCGATTGTCCCCAGTCGTGTTCTGTTCACTACAATATGACAGATTATGTCGACAAGTTCCAAACGAAAGCATATATTTAAAACATATATTGTGTTAGTCACAAAATTACAGGACCTATGAAAACGCTTCCATGACAATTAGAATAAAACATGTGAAATACGAAATTGAATAACTGATGGGTAAAAATGTGTTATTTAGTAAAGCTATATAAAATAGAAAGTTGAAAACAAACCTTTTCTTTCTTGTAGAGCATCAGATGGTCCACAGAGCATAAAGCAGGGAAGAACAGCACCAATAATTCCTGAAGCATATGGAAGCATATGGTGTGGATCTATTTCAACAAATGTTTTTATCCACTTTAGTGCCGCTCGTTGTTTCAATTGTTCTGGTGCGTTACAAATATTTCCGCTTTTTAAAGACCAAGAATCAGAAGCATTTTGAGCATTTTGCGTGAGACTAATACTTTGAGCCGATGTGTCAACAACGATTGATGAATTGTGTAGATTAGAAAACTGGGAGTTACGTGGAGATGATGGCTTTAAAGCAATATCAGCCAAAGCACAAGCTAGTGAAAGTAACACGAAAAAATCCATCGTACTGTATATATAAGAAAAACAATACACGGAATATGAAGAGTAAAGAGATACAATCATCAATATAGGCACAATATTTCGTACTTAATGACAAATGAAAAATGTATGCCGTGACAAACTTCGTACTCCGGTTTATTTATTTATTGGAACATATAAACATCGGTTCAACGGGGCACCAAAATATGTATGCGCCATACAATAACAATGAGGTCGTGAAGAGATAAAGAAAGGTATGACAAAAAAATAACAAAGACGAGTAGAAATTAGTGTATGAGAGTGAAGTGATAATGATGGGAGAGGTAGTCCAGTTAACACAAGTACAACCAGAAAGAATTGTTCCAGTTAAATAAATTACTCTCAATTTTATGAAGAAAGCAAAAGAAAGTCACAGCTTGGATAAAACAATAGAGAGAGGTGGTTGTATGATATCACTCTGCCTGAAATGTTTGTTTATATGACCTTCAAAATGTTAATAAACTTCTCAGGCACACTCTTCTTCAACAGACAATCCCACCATATGCGAGCTGCTGTAGAAGTTGAATAAGGGAATATACAAAATATGGATAAAAGAATAGGTAAGTGACGCAGTGTATGGTAAAAACAAGTATTAACAAACAGTTTTATGTATGATTTGTGAAAATGGGAATTAAAAAGTGATTAGCTTTTCTACTTGCAATCATCATTTAGTTCTTGTGCGCTCGGATGAACGATGGATGTTCGAATCGAAGCAGGAGGTTTTCCCAGACGACCACTTTCCGAGCCCTTGATCTAGAGGTCTAGTCCACAAGGCAGTGGGGCAACGTTAGTAGATGCAATCCCATGGTAGTCGGCGACCAACAACAGGTTTGTATGCCATTTGTTCCCCAAGTATCCTGGCGTTCATGTTCATCATCGGCTTAGAATCAGGCTTTTCCAGTTCTCGAGGGGCAACCTTCACGTACCCATCAACTGAGTTAGGGGCGTACATTCGTTTTCGTTGTCTCAATTTTGTAAATAACACACCTACTACGAGAAGGTAGTGATTAGGACTTTTTTGGAAATCACCTACCGTAGCTGCTATCTTGACGTGGTGGCCGGGCCGAACTATAGTGATGACTCAACTAAGCTATATTAACTGGATTACACGTTTTTTTTAGATTCTACCATGCTAGGTGTGTCGGTTGAAGAACGGTAAGACTAACAGCAAAAACTTGAGACCCAAGGGCGAATTCGGACTGGTGACTGTAGTAAGGTGTGACAGAAATGTGTTTCCTTCGGGCAGCACCTGCAGCGATGCTGTCCTCTCATAACGGAAGGAAGGTGTTAGGAATAGTCTACCCTCAAAATGTCGCACATTACCCTACCACACGGATTTCCGTTTCTGGCGCTGGTACGTGAAGTGAAGAACTACCGCATCAAAAACTTACCATAAAAAGATCGTGCACGACCGGCCTCAGACAGTTGTCTCTTTAACTCTGTGGTTACACTTCCAGGTCGCTAAGACTACCATTTATTAAGTTTCTTTTCCAGGTCTTTCAAGAACAAATGTCCTTCCACAGTGTGGGTGACAACCACCCTCACACCTATTTCAGCAGCCGAGATGACGATCGAATCCTTTCCTCACCTCTCAATAATTCTTCCATCCCTACGACTAGCCATTCTCATATGTCTCTATCACCACAGGCCACCAATCGTAATGATTTGAGTTCAAAAAATGTTCTTTCTCGTCTCCTGAAACCGCACTCTAAACTACATATTAGAGCTTTTAATGTTTGAGCCTTGTGTCCAATAGGAAAACAGGCTTCTTTAGCTAGGACTCTAGAATCTCGCACCGTCGATGTGTACTGCGTCTCGGAAACGCGCATACAGGATCTAAGTACGGCCATTCATTTAACCTCACCTTGTCAATATAAAGAACCGGCACGATTTACCCTTCGAGTATCTGAAGATCCCAGTGCTAATTGCTGTGACCTCGCTGATGTACGTACAGCATTAATTTCAAAAGCAGAACAGGCTGTCAGACTGAATTCTAATAGACAGTCGCCTGTGAGCTGTTCAACTAAACGGGACCGTGAGAACTCGAAAAGATAGGGACACAAACCGTCACCTTTTCGTTGTCTTTGCCTACGTTCCCACTGATTGCAACTCAGACAAAGTTAAAGATGAATTTCATGGGAAGCTATCCCAATATCCTCAAAAGGCTAAACGCTCTGATTTAGTAATAATGGCAGATGATTTTGATGATTAAGTAGAAACGAAACCAAAAGGCACTTAGGTGGATCTTACACTATTGAGGCTCAGAGAACAGACAATCGCGATCGCCTGTCGCAACTATGCTCAGATAATCTTTTATTTCTGGCAAACACCAACTTTAAATAGAAAAAGACACATCGTATGATGTGGCGACCTCCGCACTCGACTCAACGACGGACTCAAATACATCACATTACCATTAATCATAGTTCAAGGGACTCAATGGAGGACTGTCTCTCATCCTGGAGCACATGTTTAGACTCGAATCATCCTCTAGTTTGAGCATGCACTTGTCTGAGTCTCAGTGAACGTAGAAAAGCTACAGCGAGAAAACCCTTTACAGTAACTTGATGGAAAAGTTAACAATAAATTTCAAGAACTGAAGGAGTTCGTCAACTGTGAAGTGATATTCACTCCGAGGTAGCATGGCATGATATCCAAAAAGCTGTGGAAACAGCTGTGATATCTACTAGTAACTTGAAACAAAAAGTTGGGAAAAATCAGTGGATTTCAGCTGCATCTATAGAACTGATAGATGTTCAGGAACTAATCCCATCTGGTTTTGAACACGATGAGAAGCGGAGGCAGCTTGGACATAGACTGATAAAAGGCCTACATAATGATCGTGAGAAGTGGTGGGTAGAGAAAGCAGAAACGATGGAAAAGGCAGCAGCGATAGGTAGCAGTAGATAACTGTTAAGACTTATCAAGAAAACGAGTATTAAAGGCTGTTGGTGAAACCGTCTCGGCAAAAGACGGGACTATTAGCCGTTCTCAATTCAGGAGATTGGACCAATGGGCAAAACGCTCGAAAGAACAGTTCACCTGGCCTTCAGACACTTCAGTTACCCATTATCTCTAAGCAACCTGAATGGCAAACTGATATAAGTTCTCTGAATCTTAGTGAGGTTGGAAAGGCTATAACTAATCTAAAGTGAGGGAGAGGAGCAGGACCGGATGGATTAACCCTTGAGATTTTTAAGGATGATGGTCAAGTTTTAGCAGTAAGATTAACTGAAATCTTAGCTAAAATCTGGAAACTGGACGTAATCCTATCTTATTGGTCTTGATCGCTGGTCAGCCCAGTCTATAAGAAAGGACAAAAATCCTTTTGTGATAATCACAGAGGAATCAATTTAACTAATACAATATCTGAAATATTAGCCTCAATAAGACTTCGATGTCTAATTGTAGCTCTTGAAGAGTGAATTCGAGAAAACCTGACTGGTTCACACTTGTACGTGAATGTATAGACCAAATATTCACCCTTCAGTAGATTCTAGAACATAAACATACCTTTCGACATCATACTACAGTTCTATTACTTGACATTAAGGTAGAGTTCGACTCTGTTGATCGTGAGGTTCTGTACTACTGTCTGTCATAGAAAGGCGTATCGAAGAAGTACATTAACCGTGCACAGGCTCTCTACTCGAATACTTCTGGTCGAGTCAGAGCTTATGGCTAATTCTCATCGAGATTGGTTACTTCAAGTGGTGTTTGTTAACTCCGCCTGTAGCTCTTCTAGAATTACTGCCGGTCCCAAGCCCGTGCAAAGGATGAGGGTTAGGCATGGGGTTAGCGACTCCATCCCGTAAAAAACTAGCTCGCTAAACAAACGCTAACCAGAACAAATAATTCAAACCATGTAAACTCTGTCCTGGGATTTGAAGGCAGAAATATGAGGCCTCATGATGAAATCCAAGATCTTTCGGAAGTAACGAGGCCGATGCACCTTCTAACAACGGGAGCAACACTCTTTATAGGTACATGGAACTTCCAGAAAATGTGGGAGACAGGGAAGATCAGTCAAATAGCAATGGAAATGAGGCGATACAAATTGGCATTACTTGAGATCAGCGAAACCCATTGGACACAAGCTCAACAACAAAGGCTAGATACGGGAGAGATTCTGCTGTACACCATACACGGAGAGGAAAATGCTCCACACACTCAAGGAGTTGCTCTAATGCTGTCCAATGAAGCACGAAACTCACTTGCAGGATGGGAATCTCACGGATCCAGAATTATCAAAACATCATTCAAAACAAAGAAGGAGGGGATCACAGTGAATGTTATCCAATGTTATGCACCCACCAATGGCAGCAACGACGACGATAAAGATCAGTTCTACTCGAGGCTTCAATCAATCATAGCTGAGTGCTCAAGAAAGGACCTCACCATCCTGATGGGAGATCTAAATGAGAAAGTCGGAGTGGACAACACAGGATATGAAGATATAATGGGACGACGTGGACTGAGAGAGAGAAATGAAAATAGGGAGAGATTTGTAAATCTATGTGTATTCAACAAACTCATTATAGGCGGAACAATATTCCCACAAAAACGCATACACAAAGCTACATGGATCTCGCCGGACCACACCACAAAGAACCAGATAGATCATATTTGTATCAACGAACGATTCCGAAGGACAATGGAAGATATCAGATATCATATGTCGATGAGTGAATGGTGCAATGGAATAAATAAAGTAAACATAATGATTCGAAGAGGGAGTATTATAATTATCTAAATATTTATAATAATTATAATAATGCCTCAACATTTGAGGATAATACGACAATAGAACAAGTAGTGATAAGAAATCTAAAGCGTATGAATAAAATTGTTAAAGTGCAGTCAAAATGTTTATAACTATGACACCCTATTAATAAGAAGCTGTGTTATGTTTCTGCACATAAATTGTGGGCCGTCTGTTCGTAGTCAGCCGTACTGA